ATGAATGTCACTCCTCTGCGTGTGGTCCAAATGTCAATATTGAATATTGATATTAACACCTTCCACCCTTTTTACTACTCATACTACTCATACCCATCGATCGATAATATTGATTATTTTTTGCAAATGATGTTATTGATTATTATTGTTATTATTATTATTATTATTGTCCTAAGCCAATCGTTTGTGTAGTAATTATTTAAAACAATTAGTCTCTTTTATAAATATTGATAGAACAGTGAGAAGACGTAATTGATCTGAAATATGTGATGTATTTCCGCTTGTACATTTCGAACAATCTGGTCACACACAAATTTACTTGTCAAGGCATTTTAAGTATGAAGATGAATAAAAGGACAATTAAATAAAATTTCAAATAGACATAAGGTGATAATAATTGTAAATAAAGGAGAGAGAAAATTAACGTATTAATGAAAAGAATAAGAAGAGGTAGGAAAATTGTCACATTATCCCCCTAGGCTTAAAGATTCCTAAGGTAAATTCTAGGTTATGAAAAATTGTTTCTGCACACATAAGGGGAGTTTTAACTGTCTAATAGCCAAGGCCTCCATAAACCTCAAAATTCGTCCTTCAACATTTGAAGGCTGTCTTGATGTCAATGTTATACCCTGTCTCAATTATGTGTTTTGCGACCGATGAACATGGTTTTCTATTTCCAACGTTAATCGGCTCATCTGACTTTTTTTAATAACAATGACCTCCAGTAATCATAGTTCACCGGCATGGTGCAAGCTTGATACAGTTGGACATGTTCAATGTTGAAGGATAGGTATGCCATGTTGTTATGTATTGTATGAAGTGTTTACTAGATTGAAAATTATTCAAGAAGTACTTTTTTTTTAATATGTATCAACAGTAAGTAATCCAAGGTGTCAGTTGAAGTTGATCAATGCTTTTCAACTGAACATCCTGATACTGTATGACTAATGTATGAAATATCGTTCCAGTGTTATATATTGAATTGGTTACAACTATGTACAATTAGAGAGAATTAAAATCGAAAACAGAGAGCACGGAAGCAATACATACAACAATAAATAGATCAGTCAGGTTTTCATGTTCAGGTTAGTTACATTTATCAAGGATAGTGTTAGTTTAAAGTATCTTCACGTAAGGGTGGGGGGGGGGTGAGCTTTAACTAATGAGCTCCAAAATATAGTCTCATTTGTGGACTGAGATATACTTACAACTGTGTTAGCATAGTTAAGTGACTTTCTGAAGAGTTGTAGGTCTTGATGCAGTGAATAAAGAGGATGAGAGTGAATTTATTTAACAAATAGATTGCAGTAAATAATTACAGGATTGCATAAAATTATTGGTAAAATTATTCCAACACAGAGAGAAGATTTACGATGAGATAGCATCACTAATGTCAAACATTTAAGGAAGTTATCAGGCCGTCCGATGCAACGCGGAACTTCGTACGTAAGTACATCAGTTCGTGTTGCCATACCACATCAGCACACAGATGTAATTGTCAATTCAAATCCCATAGTAGTAGAAGAGATAGTAAAGTTATTAGGAGTACTCAGAGAGGTTAGGTTTAGAAGATATTATTCACGAAGTATGATTAAATGAGAAAAGTTTAGAAAGACAAAACTAGAGGTGTTGAAGAATCCAGAAGATTAGGATTTGAGAGAACACAAAGAGTGGATGCATCGGCGCCATTGCGAACGATTTCGAGCCATGTCATTCAGGGTATCTAACCATCGATTATTATCATCTCGTCGACCCCAATCAGGTAGTCGACACCTACCGACATGACTCAGTCCACTTGTCAAAGACTTCATGGATTTGTGCCATGTTTTGGTTTGGCCGCCCCTCACCTTCTTCCAACCTATTCCTACACTACAAAACCAAGCTCTTCAAGGCAGCCGTTGGTTAGACAAACGCAGCACATGTCAGAGAAGAGAGGTGTGTGTGCGTGTAGGGAGGATTTGACTGTGACCAATTTGGTCTCGTGTGCTGTTACGGGTATGAGGGCGGTTGTCACTTCCCGACTGCCCACACCGTGGAAGGTTGTTTCTTGAGGGACCTGAAAAGGAAGATTAATTAATGTTGGTTTTAACGACGTGGGTGCGTGACCGCATAGCCCAAGGGAAAACTGCTTCAGGCCTTTTTATGAAAGGTTTTTTGAGTATCAGCTCCGCTCTTAAGAACCCTTAGTGGATAGCCCATACCGACGGAGACGGAAATCCGTGAGGTAGGGTGAGGTGTGACATTTTTAGGGTCGACCTTTTCTAACCCTTCCTGTCCTTGTGAGAAGGCAGCATCGTTGCAGATGCCAGTTGTCCGTGGGAAACACCTTACTACTGTTACACCCCTCTATAGTCAGCAGTACGACTTCGCCCTCAGACCTTGAGTAGCTCAGTTTAGTCTCATCGTTCTCCAATCGACCTGCCTGGCATGGTAGAACCTTGAGGAACATAAGTTCCGGCCAATATAGATCGGTTGGGTCATAACGATAGTCAAGTCCGACCACCACGTCAAGGTAGCAGTTACGATCGGGCCAAGTACACATACACAGAGGGTTTGAATTAGTGACTAGCCATGGCTTCTTTTATTATATAAACTTCAGAATTCATCCTTGACAATTTCTTTACAACGTTTTGTAGGCTGTATATATGCCAATTCTATGTCCCCGTTTATCGAATCATTCGCCATTAACTGGATTTTTGAAGCTATTTTCTTGCACATACGTTTCATAAGTTTTGATTGTATAGTCTGATTACTTTGGCCTAAGTGTATATATACGTGTCCACACAGATATATATAAACTGATAAATGCAATGAGATGTGACGTACTGTTTTTTAAAAAAAAATAGAATTTAAGTAAACCTAGGTTTATGATTTACTGCATATCAATATGTCGAATATAACAGATGCAAGTGAACTGATAAGAGGATGGATGATTTTAAATTGTCAGTTATTGAGTAGATTATTATTACTGTTATTACTATTATTATTATTATTACTGTACTCAATCATTTTCAGTTCCCTATAAATTATATGTTTCTTTAGTTTAATTGAATAATATTTTTAATAAATTATTTAATCTGCTCAAATAATCGAATTTTCTTCAATTTTTTCCTAGAGTATTATTACAATTATTAATCTAGATAAGCACTTGTAAAGTTTGGTAGATTTTAGTTAAGTTGTTTGTGAAGGAGAACACAGGTTAGGGCAATCGAATTGTATTTAACAAAAAAAATTAGAGTTACTCAGTAAAATAGGAAAACCATATCGTAAACCGTTGTTAATTTGCACATCTTCAATCCATTGTCTGACATTTCACTATTCATGCGTTTCATACAAATTCCATTGTGTTCCCACTCTTCCTTTCTTGATCTCACCCCCATCTTCTGCTGCCAGACATTACGTTTACACTCGCGTCATATACTACTTATAAGTAGCGCGCACCACAGTATGAGACGTAATCCAAAAAAGTACTATTTGTAATAAATCATAATTATTGACTTTGTTTTATGAGATAAGATATAATTATGTTTGGATAGCCAAAAATACTTGAATGAATCATTTTGACTGGGATGGGAGTGAGGGATGTCGACACAAGTTGTGTAATATCGATCCATGAAGTGACTGATAGACTGTTGAAATAATCAGTGTAGGCAGATGAAAGAGGTACATGGTCATTAGTAGTGTACAGCTGATCATTGCAGATGTTACTTGACTGACTCTAAAAACAACTATCAACTAATAACAAAATCAGAGTTCTCAGTCAAGAAATGTTAAGACAGTTCCATTGTATCGAGCGGAAACTTGGAAAACTACCAAAGCCATCAATTAGAAGATACAAGAATTTATTAACAGTTGTTTACGAAAAATACTTTGGATTCGTCGGTCGGACACCATAAGCAACAACTTACTGTGGGAGGGAATAGACAAGATTCTAGTGGATAGGATATACATTACGGAAAGTATTCAATTACGTCATAAGACATGCTCTCACTTGGAACCCTCAAGGTCAAAGGAAAAGGAGGCCAGGGAACCTATTGTGTCAAGATATGAAGGCAGACATGAGAAGAATGAACAAAAGTTGAAGAGAACTGGAAAGGAAAGTCCAGGACAGAGTAGGATGGAGAATACTGGTCGATGGCCTATGCTCTGTTGAGGTCAACAGGTGTAAGTAAGTACTTGAATGACTGAAAACCAACAGACCCTCTGCAGAAGTATAACTTATACAAGCACTGATTCTGAATTCAAAACGGGTGGACATTTTTAACCGCAGTCATTTCTCGATATCATAAAATGGTCTTTGAATGTCATCATTGTTATCTGTCTCAATTCTCGCAAAGACACATTCATCTTGTTTTTAGCTGCTAATACATATCATCTTTTCACCTGCTGTTGAAATGTTTTAACAAACCAGTATCTACCAGAAAAATGTTAACATGAATATGATACTAACTTACCATTTCAAAACTTGCCATTACCTATGTAGTGTAGAAATTTATACCGAATAGATGTTATTACAAGTAACTATGAAATAATTGAATCAACTATTTTCCAATTACACATGTAAATATTTCACCGAAATCATAATTCAATCATTGTTAGACCACTGCTAGAAACTTGGAAACGCTAGACGGCCATTTCAACATTCTAGTATGGAACGAATCAGTAGTGCACCTCCACGACCCCCACACGTTGGAATCGAACCCAGGACCTCGGGGGTCTAGGCATCCACACGCGAGGCCAAGGGTCCTGGGTTCGATTCCCGCTATCTGGGAGTCGTGGATACGCATTTCTGACGGTTCGCAAACTAGAATGGTGAAACGGCCGCGCAGTGCCTCCGAGGTTTCGAACAATAGTCTAACATTGATCGACTCATAATTTCCGTGAGACCCAACAATCTACACAATCCTATAAGGTGTTATCTTTAACTAATAACATTCTTCAATAACCTATTTGTTTAATTCAATTACTTTTTTTCCACATTTAAACATATTATATTTTAGATGTACCCGCACCAAGAATGATTACATTAGAACGTCAATTATATCAAAGTGTATTGATTAGTTGGAAACCGCCTGAAATGAATGCCTTAAATGAAAATAAAATTGTATCCGCTTATCACATCTACGTAGATGGACAATTTCGGCTAGCTGTAATGGCAAAAGAAAAAACTCGTGCACTCATAGATAATGTCGATGCTGACAAAGTAAACTAACTATTGTTTGTTATATTACGATTATTATTATTATTATTATGAGTATTTTGGAATGAACTTGTGGTGGCCAATTTACTGCGTGTTCTTAAGCTCGGTGGTAATTAGCTCGTCTAGACAATCGTAACATTAAATAGCGTCTGACGGTTTATAAATCGGAAGTCATGAATTCGAAGTAATGAATACGTTTATTTTTTTGGGACACACCACAAAGCAAAGTTGAAAAGCAGCGAATAAAGTGTACGAAACGATGTGAATTGGAGAAGGCTAATGAGCGAACTCCTAGGATTACAATACGAATGAATGGGTGAAGGAAGCGAATGAATAGGAGAAGCGCGTTGGAGAAGGCTAGTGAGCCAAGTCCCATAGATAAAGTATGGCTAAGAATATATAGTCAGACAAAAGTAAGACAGACATTTGACCAACGAGATAGGCACACATGAATAAAAGCGACGAATAGTTGACAAGGTCAAATGACAAGTGGACAAGTCATGTGAGCTCATCATACAAACCAGACAACAATAATAAGAACGAATGGTACATATAAATTGTTGCAATACAAATGGCTTGGTTAAATAAATAAATCGAAAGGGCTTAGCCAAGTTAGATGTAAGCGAACTGGAATATTATATGTGGAGGCACTTCAAACTATTTTCTATTTTGAAATGATCAATGTTAGGCCATCATTGAAAACCTGTAAAAACACCGAGAAGTTGTTTTGTCTGAGTGTAAAGACTTCTCAGGAGTGTTTATCTATGATCCTATATGCGACTGTTCAGTTCTCAAGCTTTTAACGGTGGTCTTACATTGATCAGTTTATAATTTTGATCAAATTCAATAATCTTCACAATTCTAGACTGATGTTTGGTAGTTTTTAGTGGTTGCCTTAATAATAACCTACGATCTGACTCCAGTTTTGACGGAATGATCGAGTATGCGATCAAGTAAACCTCCCACTTCATGTTTTTTCGTATATCATACGTAGGTGAACGCTGTTTGTGTGACAGCGGTGATTAAAAGCAGAATACGGTTTTGCGGATGAATGTATTTCATGCATTCAGTTAAGCAAACAGATTATAAGACTGACGCGCTAATTAACTGCGCTACTAGAGCACATGCTGTTGGGCAAGGCCTCTCTGAGACCAAAGAATGAATAGCTTACAAGCAAAGTGATTCGACGTGGAGAAGGAGAGTCAGCTAACTCAATGCGATAAAGCATGACTAAATATTCATAGTCAGATAAGCATGAGCTAGACTTGTAATTAGTGAAGTAAGTAATGTACATAAACAGTCAAGTAAAAGCAACCAAGGTTATGATTGAATAATAGGAAAAA